ATGTTACTGTAAATGTCAGCAAGTGGTAGTAAAAACCAACCAACCCTACCAAATAACCACCTAACCAATGCACAAACACCCCCGAAATAATCAGGCTAACCAATGCATTAACACCCTCCAAATAACCAGGCTAACCAATGCATTAACACCATATAAATAACCAGGCTAACTTAATTAGTTAGTGATTTTGGTAAATCCTAGGTTTAGCGCGCTTATCTTAGTTTTTACCGCATTTCGGACATTTACAGTAGCATATACCGGGTGTTGCATCGTCGAGCGGGACATAGGAAATCCCATGTAAATTTTAATGGGGTCAATTATTGGCTTCCCTAATTATTTTGGAGTATAATTCTATTTAGGTTTATTGAAGAGCACTAAAACCCACATTCAAAAGAATAACTTTAGATATTTTTGATTAGCCCGTTTACGAGTTATCGCCGATTTCTTTTTAAATATTTCTCCTTTCTTATGGCCCTATATTTACTTATGAGCACCAGTCAAGGTAAAAGATAACTGTCAAATGAAGTTGTCATTTCAGAAATTTATCTATTTAGTGCTTACATCGAAAATATTAGCCATGAATTACACTACCGAAGAAAAAGTATTGATGATTAAATGGTATTATCAAGGAAATAGTTATCAAAAGGTGTCCATGTTTGCTGCTCTGTATCCGAATAGACCGATACCTGGAAAATCTAAAATCGCAAGGAATATCCAGAGATTTGAGACCAAAGGTACCCTAATAAATAACTGCAGATGTGAAGCAAGGCAGGAACAAAGAGAAGATGCAAGAAATGATACCGACTTGGAAGTTTTATTGTGTGTGGAAGAGAACGATGAAAAGATCAGCACAAGAAAACTTGAGGATGAAATAGGAATAGATCACATTGCAGCGTTACGAATTTTGAAACGACATAAATACTATTCCTTCAAATATGAAAAGCACCAAGAGCTACGAGATGGGGACGAAATACGGCGGCAGGCGTTTTGTTTTGATATGATGGAAAGAGCAAACATGGATAGGGAATTTTTAAAAAACAAATGTTTCACTGACGAATGCACGTTTACCTTAAATAATGAACCCAATGTTCAAAATTATCAACATTGGAACAAAGAAAACCAAAACAGGTTTGTCGAAACAAGGACGCAATATCCACAGAAAGTAAATGTTTGGGCAGGGATATTCGGACACAATATTATGGGGCCATAATTTCTTACGCGTAATTTAAATGCATAATATTATTTGGAACTACTCGAAAATCATATTTTACCTGCTTTACATGATGCCGCTAGGGAAAATCAGGAAGTTTGGTACCAAATGGTTGGCTGCCCGGCACATAGTACCCTGGCTGTTCGGGAATATTTAGACAATAGTTTTAACGGAAACGTTATTGGCCTAAATCACACAGTAAATTGGCCAGCAAGGTCTCCTGATATTTCGCCAAATGATTTCTTTCTCTGGGGCCATTTTTAAATAGCCCACAGGATATACAAGAATAAAAATACCCAAATCTAGACGACTTAAAAAATGCTATTTCTGCCGAATGCAATAGAATTTCAGTTTACCAACTAGCGAATGTAGGAAGAGAATTTTATGATCGCCAGGGTTATTGTCTAGTAGTCGATGGAGGAATATTTGAACATTTTCTTAAATCTTAAAGTTCTAACAATTTAATAGCACCTAAATTAATAAGTTATTGAATATTGTAATAATACTATAATTAACCTTGTAATTGATTACTTTATTTTACTTTAATTCATATTAATTTGTAGTTATAAATACATCTTTAAGATTTCCGATGTAGGAATGAATTTTCAATAATAATAAAGCACTAAATAGGTAAATTCATGGTAAATTTCTGAAATGACAACTTCATTTGACAGTTATCTTTTATCTTAACTGGTGCTCATAAGTAAATACAGGGCCATAAGAAAGGAGAAATATTTAAAAAGAAATCGGCGATAACTCGTAAACGAGCTAATCAAAGATATCTAAAGTTATTCTTTTGAATGTGGGTTTTTAGTGCTCTTCAATAAACCTAAATAGAATTATTTTCTAAAATAATTAGGGAAGCCAATAACTGACCCCATTAAAATTTACATGGGATTTCCTATGTCCCGTCCGACGATGCAACACCCGGTATCACTACTTCCCGCTAGCCATTCGGTGTTAGCTCTGCTGTAAAAAATGTCAAGTTGCCACATTTATTTTTTGTTGTTTTTGTAGTTTAATTTATTTCATGACATTTTGATTCGTTTTGACAATTGTATTAGGAGTCCGAACTGAATTGTGTTGTGATACTTTAAGCTGAAATTATTGTACTAGTAGAGCTTGCAGTCGAAGATTGTTCTTTTTAGAACTGCTTGTAATGCGAGGCGTACAAAATGGCCGAAGCAGCTAAACAGCAGTTGCAAAAAACTCATCGCAACCTTATTAGAATATCTTGAAAGGAAAAGCGGTAATAATGAACCTTTATGTCCCTTAAGTGCTGTTAAGAGAGTTTTGTTGACGTAAATAATAACTGTTTATATATTTATAATAAATTAATTTTTGTTTCCTAAAATATTTTGATTAAAAGAAAATATGTAAAAGCGGGCAACGCTGTACCGGTAAAATATCTCTGCAAATTAAATAAAAACACATATTAAACATGACGGTTCTACCAACAAGTATTTTGTAATCCCTCTAGGTTTACTTATTTTTCTGAGATCGAAAACTTTTTCTGGCACAACTATCAATAATTCATTCCGTATATGTATCGACAGAAAAAAACAAACAATCCATTATATTTACTTATGAATTATTTATTTACTAAACTAAATATTTGGTAAATAAATCGTAATTGATATTTTATTCCAAAACGACTTAAAGAGGAAATATTAAAAACATTCCCTGGTCATAAAAACCTCGTTTTGCCAAATAAATAAATAGTTACAAAATTATCTCCTTTAATTTACTACCATTAATCCAAAAAATAAATATGAGATTACAGTAAAACAGATGTTTTGAATTTTAAAAGGCAGTTATTTAATTTTACATAAATGATATTTTTGCCATTGCTATCTGTTAGTTAATTTATTTGAACACAATACAAATACAAAATCGATAAATAATTATTTTTAAATTGGTGCCATTCATATTTTATTATATCTTAGCTTTAAGCTCCCCCCGTCTACGCATAACTTTTACCTGTTCAGTCAAAACGTATCAAGTAAAACCTTGAGTGTAGACGAAAAAACGGTCCGTTTTAATTAAATCGAATTAAGCTTCATTCAGAACCTCGAAATTAGTGGTATAAATTGGTAGTCTTAATTAGCGTAGAAGTTTGTTTCACTAATTTCAGCGTAAGCACTCAGAACATCAAAATTATTGGTAGTCATTTTAAATTGGCAGAAAAAGTAAACAGACCTTTAACTTTTTCCACTAATTATACTTTAAAACTAGCGAGTAATGTCATTCCAGACATTGATTGTCATCATATAAGCATTCAGAACGTCAAAATTAGTGGTAGTAAAGCTTCATTCAGAACATCGCAATTAGTGGAATAAATTAGTAGTCTTAATTAGCGTAGAAGTTTGTTTCACTAATTTCAGTGTAAGCACTCAGAACATCAAAATTATTGGTAGTCATTTTAAATTGGCAGAAAAAGTTAACAGACCTTTAACTTTTTCCACTAATAATTATACTTTAAAACTAGCGAGTAATGTCATTCCAGACATTGATTGTCATCATATAAGCATTCAGAACGTCAAAATTAGTGGTAGTAAAGCTTCATTCAGAACATCGCAATTAGTGGAATAAATTAGTAGTCTTAATTAGCGTAGAGAAGTTTGTTTCACTAATTTAAGTGTAAGCACTCAGAACATCAAAATTAGTGGTAGTCATTTTCAATTGGCAGAAAAAGTTAACAGACCTTTAACTTTTTCCACTAATTATACTTTAAAACTAGCGAGTAATGTCATTCCAGGCGTTGATTGTCATCATATAAGCATTAAGAACGTCAAAATTAGTGGTAGTAAAGCTTCATTCAGAACATCGCAATTAGTGGAATAAATTAGTAGTCTTAATTAGCGTAGAAGTTTGTTTTACTAATTTCAGTGTAAGCACTCAGAACATCAAAATTAGTGGTAGTCATTTTAAATTGGCAGAAAAAGTTAACAGACCTTTAACTTTTTCCACTAATTATACTTTTAAAACTAGCGAGTAATGTCATTCCAGACATTGATTGTCATCATATAAGCATTCAGAACGTCAAAATTAGTGGTAGTAAAGCTTCATTCAGAACATTGCAATTAGTGGAACAAATTAGTAGTTTCAATTAGTGTAGAGGTTTGTTACTCTAATTTCTTAACGAATGTATGCATTTAGAACATCAAAATTAGTGGTACGAATTTTCAATTAGTGGAAAAAGCTAACAAACTTTGGAATGTCATTTTGGACCTTATATTATCCGTTTAGAGAAATTATGGTTAGAAATCAAAACTTTGTTTTATAAGCTAAATATTAAGCTTTCTCTATGAATACACCTGATACCCCAAGCTGTTGATAGATAATAATTAGTTAAATAATAGATATTAATTTTAATTGTGTTTTTAGACATTACGAACGATCGTAAATTAAAAAGTATAAAGTGTAATTGAAACCACTAATTTATTCCACTAATTGCGAGGCTCTGAATGAAGCTTAAAGCTTCATTCGGAAATTAGTGGAATAAATTACTGGTTTCAATTAGCGTAGTAAGTTTGTTCCTCTAATTTCAATGTAAGCATTCAGAACGTTAAAATCAGTGGTAGTAATTTTCAATAATTAGTAGAAAAAGTTAACAAACTTTTAACTTTTACCACTAATTGCACTTCAAAACTAGCGAGTAATGCCATTTTAGACTTTGAATATCATCATATAAGCAAATTATTAGGCTGACGTAAAAATAAAATAATGTACTCAATTTTATAAATATTTCTTTCCATTTGTCTAGAAGAAAAGGTGAAAAAAAACGTACCTTTGCTGCTTCTTGTGCTCCTGCGCAGTACCGCTCCCGTACGACTGAGCCTCGAGGGCTCCGCTCCGTTTTCCTGGACAATGTTGGAGTTGCTGTGGTGCGATGGCAGGGCTACAGGCCTGGAAGTGCTGGTGTTGCTGCTCACTGCCCCCAGTGCTGCAAGTTCCCTTTTGCCGAATGTAGATCTGAAAAACGAGCTTTCAAAAATCACTATTTAACATGCTCATCATTAATTAGATTGTTAAATAAAATAATAAGCAGTATGCAATCCGCAACAAATGAGATTTATCGGACAAAGTGTATTTGAAATTCAAGACTAAGATTCTAAAATATACATGAAAATATAAAAGACTAGGCTTTTTCCCGCGACTTCGTCTGCAAAAAAATCGAATTTTATTAATATAAAGTGTAATATTTATTATAGCACATAGTGGCAATATTTGAAAGTACCTATGATGTGTCTAGTTGTAATTTATAGTCTACAATTCGTTTGACAGAATTTAAAGGAACAGTGTATTATTTTTCAACATTATCGTTATATTTTGGACAATTTACACAATAGCTTTATAAATTATAGCCTATGTGTTATTCTGATGTATAGGCTATATTATTGTAAAGTTTCATTAAAATCCATTTAGTAGTTTTTGCGTGAAAGAGTAAGAAACATCCATCATACAAACTTTGGCGTCTATAATATGTATCAGATAGACACCAGATAGACCCATAACTTTGAAAATGAGATAGACACATAACTAAAAAAATAAAGAGACACATATCCGGTGCCAAAATACTACTGCCAGTTGAAATATTTGTATTTTTTTAGAAACATTATGTATAAATATTTACTATGGTTATATTAGATAAAAAGTTACCTTTTCCAGTTCTGCTGCTGGTGTGGTACCACCCCGCCTAATTGGTTTTTGGTTTGGTTGTTGCTAGTAATTGTAGCTGAGATCAAAGGTTTCTCTGTAGACTTTGATTGGCTCCTTAAAGAATACTTGTGAACCTAAAATGTTAATAGAAACATACAAATTGTTTCAAAATATACGTAAATAATCTTATATTTTGTTGTCGTATATTGGGTACCTGTAGAAATACATTTTCATATAAACTGTAGACATATGACACCTTATTTAATTTGATGCTTCGAACAAGTTAAGATCTTCCTTGTTAATATTTGTAAATAGGATATTTTTATATAATATAACCATCTGATTTATACCTTGAGATGAAACTATATTTCATTAATACCCAAAATAAAAATGGTGAGGGGTTTTTGCTTCTCATTTAGAGTTGGAGAATACCTTAATCTTTTTAATGATACACTTGTATGTCAAAGCGGTTTACGTTAACACAGTTCTCTGGTCAGTTAAATCAACATTTAAATGAAGAATTGAAAACTTACTTGCGTCTGTGGATATGTACTGTTTAAACCTGAAGTACTTGGTTCAAAATCTTCTACGCCTAGAGTATAATTTAACTTAACACTTAAACTAGTATTAGATTTGTTCCTGTGCTTTCTCAAATTGTCCTTTTTCTCCTGAGAACTGCTTCTATCTCTCTCAGATCCCTTTTCTTTGGACGCTTTACGGTCTAGATGTTTTGACTCCTTGTTCTTCTTGTTATTCTTGGTCTTTTCTTTCGGTTTTTGTGATGCTGAATTCACTTTCTTAATTGTTATGTTGATTTCCGAAGACGTTGAAGCTTCCAAATCCACGGATTTGCTGTGTGGCTTGGATTTCTCCTTGTCAGTTTTGTGTTTCTTTTTCGTCTTGTGTTCGGGACCCTCGATATCCAAAGGAGTTAGATCAATAGGATTCGACCTGGACGCTCTCCTCGTAAAGAGAATGTTGTTGTTGTGTGCGGAGGTGTCCTTGTGGGAAGATGTAGACGATGTGGGGCCTTCTTGAGACCTCGACCGCTCCCGTTTGTTATTAGCAGTTTGGGATTTAGTTGACTTAACCTATAACAAAACAAATAAAATAGTAGATGGTTTTGTAAATTAGAGTAAAAAAGAAGGTAATTTAAGTTAAAGTGTCCTTTTTGCTTCTAAGGAGCTGCATTTTTTGATTTAAGTCATTTTGCTGACTTAACTCGCAGATCATCATGATTTAAATCAAAAATATAGATTACAAGTCATAAAAACAACTTAAATTATTATACTGATTTAAGTCCTTAACAAAATGACTTGACTTGAAAGAAAATGATTCAAGTCAAAGACTTAAGATTTAAATAATTTTAACTTTATGTTGAAATTGACTTAAGATTTAAATCTTTTAGATTTTACATGACTTGGAACTTAATAATTTAAGTCTTTTTGAAATTGACTTGTTGCAGCTCTGGATATATCTAAAGTCTATAAAACTATTGACTTGAAAGAAAATGATTTAAGTCAAAGACTTAAGATTAAAATCTTTTAGATTTTACATGACTTAGAACTTAAGAATTTAAGTTTTTGAAAGTGACTTGTTTCAGCTCTGGATATATCTAAAGTCTATAAATAGTATGAATGGCATTCTGTCTAGGTAGAGAAAATAGATTCATTACCTTTACACTGCCCCCTGTCTTTGTTGAAGTGGAGCAATTGCTTCTAGGTTGCGAGCTGGACTCTTCGAGTGAGGACTTCCGTAGGCGCTTGGCCTCGGACTTGAGCTGCGATTGCAGCACACGCTTGCGGCGGCTAGTGCTTGCAGCAGCGAACGCGTTAGCTGGATCTGCCATAGACGAAGCGTTCTAAGCTCCTCCACTTACTGATGACACACATTCCCTTTTAATATTCGACTGACTTGCTCAAGTTCGCTTAGGCTCTGCTGAAAAGTCATCATGTACAAATTCTGTATTAGGTAAATATCCACTTGTCAATTTAGACAAACGTGATAAATAAGTTTGAAGGTTACAGATTAAAAACTACAAAATAACTGTTAAAGTGTGTGTAATCAGTAGGTAAATATAATTCTAATATAATAAATTATCGACAATCGTAATTATCAATTATACAAAGGTTGAATTAACAAACTGTTTACTATGTTTAAAAATACCTACAACCTTCTCTTTCATTTTTACAAAGTAAACTTTTGAAATAGCAGATCATTTTACATTTTCCAAATCAATCTAGGAACCAAAAATCTAGTATTCACAAATAACATAAACAAGCTTGTCATACCTATTCATTGATCAAAATTACTTAATTTCACTGAACTAAAATATTACTCAAAAAGAAAATAAATAAAAATATTTATACATCAGAAACAAAGAGCCAATGGGTGTTGCTCCTTGAAGTAAAATACGACATTGAATATCAAAATGAAATAAAACTATTAACGAGTGTATCAGCCAACTACAGATGTTGACTGACGAAAAAATCCATACAATCGTTTTTTTACACTACCTCCTATGAATTAGATCCATTGCGAAAAGCTCTCGGGGATTTTTCAATAGGAAGATTCACAGCGAAAATACAATTTGCGTATTAAAAGTTTATTATATTAATGGATTTTCGACGACCACGTCAAGTTGCTGCGAGGAGAGATTGTGGCCATGAGTGCCATGACAGATTAAAAAATCCCTATCACACCACACAAAGGATCAAAGGCTTTTCCCTTTATATAATTAACCAACGCCAACAGAAAACGTTTAATTTAGCACTAAATATTGAAATATGGCTTTTAAATACTTACATGATGTATTTATTCATAGAGATATCACTCACAAAAACATATGATTTCGAATACACCATTATGGAAGTATGAAACAGTGTACAGTGTGTAATGATAAGCCTGTTTTACGTACAAAACAAGGGATTCAGCGACATCTATACGAAGCGTAGTGAAATGTGACAGTCTGGGTTACAGAAAACATTTATTGCGAAAAAATCAATTACGAAAATTGTTGCATAAATGGCGCTGTAAATTGTAGAAAAAATCTTATTTTAAGTAAATTTTTCTATTATTATAATTACTACTTATCTAATTAAATTTGCTTAAATAATTTACTTATATATCTTGTTCAATATCTGAAGTAAATTTTAACTTTCACTATGTTTGTACAACATGAAAAAATAATAATAAGTATTTGACGCAAAACTTGTAGGAGCGTTTAAAAATTATAGTAGGCCGTTTTCAACAGAGATTTTCAATGCTTTATTAAATTTAAGTATTTGGTATTAGCACATTAGTAACATAATATGTAGGTGGCTGTGTCCATGGCAACAAGAATTTGTTTTTTTAAATAAACAACTCGAAAAAAAACGCAGTTTTTTTAAGTTAAGAAATTTTAACTGAAAATGGCGTAGGTAATAATCGTAAGTACTAACATTTTTTTTAGAATAAAATTAATTATTAAATTTTGAATTCGATAAAAAGTTAAAAGCTGTATATATATAGTTTCTCATAAAGAAATAATATGCATTGTTAAAAACGTATATAGGAATGTATATAGGTAAGTAGATTTATAAAAAATTATCGAAGTTTTCGGAAAATTGGAGGATTTTTTACTCGGTCGATACTTTTTCATAAAATTTCTAATTTCGGAATATCATAACGTTATAATTTATACTGAATGGTTTTTAAATATGACCAGCAAGGCTCCAAGGAGAACGACCTACATATAGGCAAGATGTAGATTACAAAGATGTAGATTACAGAGATGGCCTTACAAAGATGTAGATTAATTTTATAGCATAATTTTTAAAAAATATGTTGTTCTACAGGGTGACCCCAAAAAATTCCACATCAAATTTATATTTTTTATAAAACACGCAAGAACACTCAAAAAGCGCTCTAAATTTACCTTCACACGCCCATAAAATTTCATTTTAATACAAGCTGTCGTTATCCATGGAGCGTTCATTTTGTATAAGAAAACTTCTCTAAAATTATAAAATAACGAATTCTTTGTATTTTTAAATTGGGATTATTATCAATTTCAAAACTAAGTACCATAAACTAAACACATTATATTGCATGGTATGTACAGGGTGGCTCGAATTCGACGCTCATCATTGGGATTTCGGAAACCGTAAGAGATACAGGATTGGTTAAATGGAGGCAAAGTTGCGCAATTTGATGTTCAATAAAATGCTGTGTATTGCCTTTTTTTTATTTTTTTTTGCATAAAATATTCTGGTGATGGAATCAGGGCCGTTCCTGGCGAGCGTGCAGTGCGTGCACGCACGCAGGCGCAACATTTTGGGGGCGCAAAATCAAAGTGTCAATCAGTACTTTGTAACAAAAAACCGATACGCTTTCTTGTTAATAAACAAATACTTAAACATACATCATAGAATAAAGTTTGCTTAGCGTCTTTTTTGCGTTGGCCGCACCGAATAAACAAGTCTAGGGCAATCTGTCATTCATTTTATGGAAAGCACTGTTCATTAAAATTTTGTATCCTATGTTATAGGGCTTGTTTCTCTCTACAATTTCCTGTCTCACAATGTACCGTTTGTGTCGGGGAAAGGATCATAGTTTCATAGTTGTGGATTTTCGACAGAAATCAGTACATGTATATTATTTCGTATATTTTTCATTTTATTGATTTTATGGAAAGCACTGTTCATTAAAATGTTGTATCCTATGTTATAGGGCTTGTTTCTCTCTACAATTTCCTGTCTCACCGTACCGTTTGTATCGGGGAAGGGATCATAGTTTCATAGTTGTCGATTTTCGACAGAAATCAGTACATGTATATTATTTCGTATATTTTTCATTTTATTAATTTTATGGAAAGCACTGTTCATTAAAATGTTGTATCCTATGTTATAGGGCTTGTTTCTCTTTACAATTTTCTGTCTCACAATATACCGTTTGTATCGGGGAAGGGATCATAGTTTCATAGTTGTCGATTTTCGAAAGAAATCAGTACATTTATATTATTTCGTATATTTTTCATTTTATTGATTTTATGGAAAGCACTGTTCATTAAAATGTTGTATCCTATGTTATAGGGCTTGTTTCTCTCTACAATTTCCTGTCTCACAATGTACCGTTTGTGTCGGGGAAGGGATCATAGTTTCATAGTTGTCGATTTTCGATAGAAATCAGTGCATGTATATTATTTCGTATATTTTCATTTTATTGATTTTATGGAAAGCACTGTTCATTAAAATGTTCTATCCTATGTTATAGGGCTTGTTTCTCTCTACAATTTTCTGTCTTACAATATACCGTTTGTATCGGGGAAGGGATCATAGTTTCATAGTTGTCGATTTTCGAAAGAAATCAGTACATGTATATTATTTCGTATATTTTTCATTTTATTGATTTTATGGAAAGCACTGTTCATTAAAATGTTGTATCCTATGTTATAGGGCTTGTTTCTCTCTACAATTTCCTGTCTCACAATGTACCGTTTGTGTCCGGGAAGGGTTCATAGTTTCATAGTTGTCAATTTTCGAAAGAAATCAATACATGCATATTATTTCCGATTTTTAGTTTATTGCTTTTATATATTTCATATAAAATGGGTCAGTTTTTTTCTTTAGGGTACTATTTTTGTTACTAAATATTTTTGTGGTTTTGTTTGTTTGCTTTATTTAATAAATGTTTTTATACTTTAATTAGAATAGTTTTTTTACATTTCCAATTACATATTGCTCGTTTGTGGCAGATTATAAATTCTTTAAATTTTTGAGATTAAGATTAAAATATATAATTGATTTAAATATAAAAAGGGCGCACCAAAGAATGCTGCACGTAGGCGACAGATACCCCAGGAACGGGCCTGGATGGAATTTTCTGTACGAAATGTCGGCAAATATCAAAGTGACTATAGTGTTTTAAGAGTGATGAAAGGATTTAATTAAATTGAAAAAAAATCAGGTCCGTATTTAAAAAAATTAAGTTGATGATGGTCGCCAGAAGCCGAAACGTCAGAGTCAATATTTAATCACACAGAATTATAGAGCAGAAAAAGTGGCCATGAAAATGTGTTTTTCATTTTATTTCGGAAGTATTCGGAATTTTTCAAAACACAACCAACTATTAAAAATCGCTAAAATTGTCGCTGATGACCAGCTGATGATGTCGTTATGTCTAAAAAGTTGGCGTCTAAGGTCACAAATTCTGCTGCAGCCCGTATATGGACGTTACATGTCCTGGTATTCTTTAGTCATTGATATTCATCCATCTTCTTCTTCTTCTTTTTTGTTTCGTTCTTACTTACTTACTTAATGATCATTACTTTTTAAAAATTTTCGGCCATAATTTCGGGGGGGGGTTTGAACCCCCAAAACACCTCCCCAGATACGGCCCTGTCCCCCATTACCCCTACCGTATATCCGTTCCTGCTTTATACTTATTTTTATTAATCTTGTAAAAAATGCATTATTTCACTTTTTAACATAGCGGCCTGTTTAAATTAGGTAATCAAAACAATTAAATCATTTATTCAACGTCAAATGTTGGTTATTTACTATTCCACGCTAGTGTCTGTGTATAGAATTACTGCACAAGTGCATCAAAAATATCTATAACTTTGGAGCTCAATTTTTATAAAAAACATGACAGTGAAAACCGCACATCAATATCTGTTACCGTTTCGGACATACGGGGTGTTTTTCAAAAATGTGCATTTTTAACAAATCGCTGTAACTTTTTGCTGTGGAAAATTTTGTATTTTTGTGAAAACATTTCCGAAGCACCTTTTTACGTAGAATTTAATGGTTTAAATATAATTTTTTAAAATTAATCATTTAAAAATTAACAACAGAAAAATTGATTTTTTATATGGGACACCCTGTATATTTTTAATTCGTTGAAAATAATTTAAAATTACTTTTTCAAAAGTATAGCATACTTGATATTTTGCTCGATTCCTTTTCGAGATATAGAGTTTTTAAAAATTCACCCACTGTGAATAAGTAGGCTTTGAACGGCGCCGGCTGGAATGCAAAAATTTTTTGCAGTGAGCAACAATTAAAATGAAAATAATATTTGCAATGAGAGATGCAGAATTTTTTAACAATTTAAACTATACCGGGTGCGTCTCAAAAGTGGCTCACACCTATAACTTTTTTATTTTTTCAGATAAAACAACGAGATTTGGTATGTTAGTATATGACATAAATTAGGATTGATTGTCAATATTCAATTGTTTTCGGTCACTTCCGGTTTCACCGGAAATGACTACAACATTTGATTTTTAAATGGCACTCTCGGTATTTTTTTACTTTATTCAATAGAAAATAACACTCTGAATAGAACGACATATCATATGTCGTTCAACGTTCAACTTTTGACATTTTTGCATATGGTTTATTTGAAATTGTAACTCAATAGAAAATAACACTCTGAATAGAACGACATATCATATGTCGTTCAACGTTCAACTTTTGACATTTTTGCATATGGTTTATTTGAAATTGTAACCTGCGGTTCATCATAACGACAATTTGGCTCGAAATACCAAGTGTGTGGTATCAAATTATTAAAAATTCTGTATTTCGAAGGGGACTATAACAAAATATCAAGTGTGCTATATTTTTGGAAAGGTAATTTTAAGTCCTTTTCACTTAATTAAAAATATACAGGGTCTCCCAAATAAAAAATATTTTTTTTTGTTTATAACTCTGAAATTATTAATTTAAAAAAAAATATACTGAAACCATTAAACTCTACGTTAAAAATGTCATGGAAATGTTTTCACAAAAATACAAAATTTTCCATAGCAAGAAAGTTATAACGATTTGTTAAAAATGCACATTTTTGGAAAACACCACGTAACTCATAAAGGGCAACAGATATCGATGTGCGGTTTTCATCATCATGTTTTTAATAAAAATTGAGCTCCAGAAGCGAATATTAGTTTTCGTCTATTTCCTATAGGAAACTGTGTTTTCCTTCAAAAGCGTCGAATTTGACCCACCCTGTAATGTAATTCCAACAGCGAGACAACCCTCGGGGAAATGTAATCGATCGTCATTTCCAAGCCAACTGGACGCCGTTTTTTCGATCATATGGTAGTATAGTAATGTGAAAACCGCATCTTTGTTTTTCTACTCATACACGAGAAAGCCTGTAAAACAAACAAAAAGAGGACACCCTGTACAGGATGGCCCAATAATATTCTTCGTTTGTTTTTGTGGTACTACGTCAATGATGCGGGCCCGCTCGAAGTCCCCGCGTGCAGTTCGGCCATCGATTGGGAGTCGGAAGAGCGCTCTGTACCGACGCTGGCAGGGACGCCTGTCCAGGCGTCTGGTCCTCTGCTCCAGCTGGATGAGGCGGACGCAGCGTCGACGGCAAGCGTCGCGACAACCGCGTTTCGCGACTCAGTTTCGGGCAAAGAGCGTCGCTAGCGAGACCTTTTCACTTTGCTTCTAGCGCTCTTCAGCGTGTTGTGTCGTCGATATAACGCGAGTAGGAAAATATACATTTTTCCGGGAATTTTTTTCGTCTTCTCCATTGGGATTTTTTATTTTTTCGTCTATTTTACGATGTTTGAGAGTATGTCTTTGTTTTGAGACAAGGTAAGATTTTTTCGTTTATATTAAGTAAAAAATCTCAATCATTTGTTTATTGTAAGTAGTGTTTATTTGGGTTTATTCAATAGTTATGTATCAAGGGAGTTAATTAGCCGAGGTTATTAACACTTTATACACTCATCGGTACGAAAAACGGGCACCTTAAAATTTTGATGTATTTTAAGGTTTAATATATTTTGTTCCAATAGGTCGATTTTCATGATTTTTTAAGATATTTGCAGCTAAATTTCTTTTTATTGTCTTTTTCTAAATTAAAAATGAAAGTTTCCATCTGTCAATTATACGAGGGAAAACAAAATGTTGATATTTTGGTAAAAGTTTGAAACACCCTGTGGAATATGTTAACAAAGCAAGACATTTCATTTTCATTTCACATTTCATTTAAGGAAAATCATTTTATCATCTAGGTACCTACGTCTCTTCTCGATGGCTTGTTTTTTTATTTATCTCAATAACTTTATTTTTATTGGAGATATTCGCTTATGAATAAGACAGTAACAATTTTAACCCTATTTTAGCATTAATAAAAAAGTGTTTAATGTTTCTGTAATGTCACTTTGATTGATATATCATATTATTATTATTTATTGACGTTTACTCTGGTAGGGATGGTTTTTAAAGTTATGAGGTAATCGGCTGTTGTTGCTTTAATTGATCATGGTGGAGATCAACTTTTAAACTTAAAACCATATCTGCTAGAGTAACTATCCCTGTAAAGGCAGTGATATTACATAAATCATAACCACTAAGTTATAGGTCTGATGACTAGGACCAAATACAAAAGGCATGGTTTTAACGTAAAAATACGAAAAAATATTACTGTCTTCAAAAGCGAATATATTAAAAAAAAACTATTGAGATGAATTAAAAAGCAAACTATCAAGAAAATATTCACCCAGATGATAAAATAATTTTTAAATTCCTTGCTTTGTTAACGTACTCCACCGGGTGTTTCAAACTTTCACCAAAATATCAATATTTTGTTTTCCCCCGTATAATTGACAGATGGTAACTTTTAACATTAAAATAATTTAGCTACAAGTTGCTTAAAAAATCATCAAAATCGGTTCACTAGAACGGAATATATTAAACTCTAAATTACATGAAAATTTTAAGGTGCCTGATGTTTTTCGTACCGGTGCGCGGTGAGTGGTACATAGATAATTTTATTTCTTACTGAATTTAGTATATTTTGTCCCATTTTAAAACGACACAAATATTGTATTTATTAATCTTCCGGTATATTAGCAACAACGCTCTGGTAGGAACCTTTGAATAAGAAGACTAAGGAAGGAGCATAATGCTATCCATGTATTCATGCATGGTGGGCGGAAAAGCCACCATAAAAGCTCTCTAGGGTGGGGATCCTTGACAGTTCTGTTTGACGATTCATTTGACACATTTGAATTTGATTTGAAATTTTGTGGATTTGTCAGTCTTTACGGAGCTTATTTTATGTTATTTATTATTTATTCTACTACTGATAGTTGTATAAAGGTAGTAAATCTAGATGGAAATTGTTGCAGAACTTAAATTAACAGTGACACTATCGCGATTTATCGAAAAAGACTCTAAAATAGTTGGTTGTGTAATGGAACAACTTTTCGCTAGTAAGTGACTATATAATATACATACGTGTAGTAAACCGATCATTTATGAAATTCACTTAAATTAACTAAATTATATATTTTTCTTGCATTTTAGCTTTTATTTATTACTTGTCAAAGATTAGATGTCAAAGAATTTAGATACGTTAATTTGACTTACCTGCTTCAGTAGCGTATCGGATGTTTGTGTTAATAAATACTTATTATAACTTAAATATTTTTATTAGAATTATATATTTTTATAACAATTTTAATAACTACCAACATTTATTCACAACGTAAAATAAAACAACAAATTATTGAGTCTACCCCACGTCTACCCTACATCATAGTTTTACATTTTTTAAATAAAATTAGAACGACACTGATAAACCGGAATTTAAGTCGGCCATATTTGAGGCCCATCGCGGTGCACCTAAGATTTTTGATATGCTCCTTCCTTAGTCTTCTTATTCAAAGGTAGGAACATTATTTGTTGCCAGGTTACTATTGTAATAAATGACCTGTTTATAAATTGACGGTTGTTGTCGCATGGAGTTCAGATTTTTGACAAAAAATGCCTTTCGTACGAATTCGGCACAGGTTTGAGTACGTTTCCATTAAAATGGAGAAAATATTAATGAAAGTTGAAGAAACACGACAAGCGGTACTTCCCCCTAAAAGTGAATCAATTTACCAAAAGGATTATAACAATATCTTCAGTATCTGTGACAGAAAAATATTATAGCAGGGGTTGTCAATGAAACTGTTCTGTTGTAATTTTATTATATGTGACATTAATGATGTGGTAGACTAAGTAGTATTCAGTATTGGAAACTAAAAGAATTTCGGACTTTTATTGTCTGTATTTATCTTTGCTTAGACAACGTTTCGGTAAGAAGTATCACTGACCGTTATCAAGTGACTTCTAGGGTTTTTTTTATCTACGAGGGTGGTCTGAAAAGTTTCCGACCTAACAAAGATACAAGATATTTTTTCTGAATATTTTATTTTATTTTTCAATAGTCCCCTTGTCATTCTACACACTTTTCCCAGCGATGCTCCCATCTCTGTAACCCGTCCAAATAGTACTCCGCGTTTTTCTCTACAAAATAGTGGTTCACGAAGGTGATTGCCTCTTCATTTGACGAAAATCTCTGTCCTCAGAGCGCAATTTTTAAATGAGGGAACAAAAAGAAATCGCTAGGGGCTAGATCTGGTGAGTAAGGCGGATGGTCAAGCAGTTCAAACCGTAATTCGTGGATTTTCGCCATGGCAGCCGCTGACGTGTGAGACGGTGCGTTATCTTGGTGAGACAGGATTTTCCTTTTCTGTAAATGTGGCCGTTTTTCCGTAAGTTCTGCTTTTAGCTTGTCAAGCAATGATGCGTAGAATGCTCCTGGATGGTTTTTCCTTTTTGGAGATAATCAAATAAAATAACTCCATGACTATCCCAAAAAACAGTCGCCATCACTTTCCCAGCCGAAATAACAGTTTTTGCTTTTTTTGGAGCTGGTTCTCCCTTTGCCGTCCACTGTTTGGACTGTATTTTTGTTTCTGGTGTATAGTGGTGTATCCAAGTTTCATCTACAGTAATTAATCGACGCCAAAACTCGGATTTATTGCGCCTAAACTGCGCTGACATAGCGTTGGAAATGTTCATACGAACACGCTTTTGGTCTAACGTGAGCAAACGCGGCACCCAACGCGCGGGCAGCTTTCTCATGCCTAAATCTTGATTTAATATGTGACAAACACGTTCTTTTGATATGTTCATAACCTCTGCTATTTCTCTGACTTTAATTCGGCAGTCGCCTAGCACCATTTGGTGAACTTTGGCGATGTTATCGTCGGTAGTTGCAGTTTTTGAACGTCCCGAACGTTCATCGTCTCCCAAGCTCTTACCGCCACATTTAAATTCAGCTGCCCAAAATTTTACTGTGGTAAATGATGGTGCAGAGTCCCCATACACAGAATCCAACTCATGTTTAATTTGTGTAGGCGTATTGCCTTTCAAAACCAGATATTTAATGACAGCTCGATACTCGATTTTGTCCATTTTCACAAAAACACTGACATCAACTCACTCAAACGACTGTTACATAACAACTACGCATCCAAAATGGCTGAAACTTTGGTGAATAACTGTCAACAGATGAACAATGAAAATTCACTAGCTTTTATCTAGGAGTGCTGCCATCTTCACGTTGAGGTCGAAAACTTTTCAGACCATCCTCGTATGGTGTTATTTTGTGAAGATCTATTGCAGTAAAATATTAAAATTTAAAATGTATTTTTAGAGTTATATATTTCTCCATAATAGCATCTCCACATAACTGTATAAACAAGTGTTTTTTAAAACAATAACATGAAATGGCTAAACGACATTCAAAAAGAGGAAAGAATAATGATTAATACACCTAAAAAATGGAGAAAGTCGAATACTTCGGCACGTCTTGAGAATACCAAACGATTCAATTATTTATGAAGAGCCCAAACTCGAAAGAAGTAAACTTTTTGGAGAATAAAAAAGAACTTTTCATTTTCCTTCATTACCTTTTTTTGTTGCCTCAAACTTTTTGGCCAAAATGTTTAAGAGCCTGGAACTGAAATAATAAATCACCATTGTATTTTTTTAATTTAATAATTTGTATTTAAAGAAAATAAGAGTGACAGACAAAAGACGTTTAAATTAAGCAAAGGTTCGTAGCTTAAAAATGTTTCTGTAAGATAATTTGAAATTTATTTTTGTAAATTTAAATACCTTTTTAGGGTTCTCTGTACTTCAAAAGGAAAAACGGAACCCTCATAGGATCACTTTGTTGTCCGTACGTCTGTCTGTCTGTCAAGACCCTTTATCTCGGAAACGCGTGGAGGTACTGAGTTGAAATTAAAACCATATATTCAGATCTACAGTTCCTTGATGCTGTGAAAAAATCAAGCTTCTAAGGTAACGCAAAAAAAGATGTTTATGGCGCAAAACACGTATATTTTGACACTCAAGGGACTCAAAATTTATAGGGTATATGTTCCGTTGATCTAGAATTATGAAATTTGTCAAGTAATACCGTCTTATACTACAAGTATAGAAAAAAATCTGAAAACTATACATTTGTAATTAAATCATAAAAACATAGTCTTTATGTTTCTTAATAGTCTTTATATAGTCTTAACCCTCTATAGGTTGATGGTCGCTAAATCGACCACTTTAATTTGACCAACTCGCGTGGAAGTGTATTATTGCCCAGTTTGTTTGCTATGCTTATTTCTATGCGTGCCTTGGCCATTTTACCAATAACCATATCTATATCTAAATATACAGGGTGGTCCGAATTGTATTCCGGAAACTTCGGCAGCATATTCCGCAAATAAAAGTAAGTAAAAAAGTTCGTATAAATG